GGAGAAGGAGCCAGTGGGGCTGTGAGAGAGGATGTCCCTCCCTGTCACAAGATGGGTCCTCACTGGGCCCCGTGGAGGCACAGCTGGCACTCTGTGAATGGCCAGAATGAAATCAACAGTAACCACAGCCTCTGTCCCTGCATGTGCAGGGTTAGCAAATCTTACCTGCTGTTAAAACCCCATGAAAATGGCAATAGCAGCTTCAGAGAATTTTGTCTCTCTGTCATTTAATTTACCAACCATCTGAGCTCTGGTGGCAGGGTCTGTCCCTTTGGAGCAACCTTCCTAGGGGGGTGGATATTGTCGCTTTTCCCTGTGAATTCTTCATGGCTCTGTTGATCTCCTGACTTAAATTTTTGATACACTTAAGGAAAGCAGTATTATCAAACTGTCTGTGCAGGAAAGTGATGATCAGTGACAGCCTGAATGTGTCACATCAGCAACTTCCTACGAGGTACTTGCTACCTCCACAGAAGTTATTTGCAGATAGTTTTAGTTACTCTTTGACTTGCCCAAAGGTGAAAGAGTTGCTCAAACAATAAAGAGGTCAGTGGGGGCTGCAGAGTTTGTCCCTTATTTCTGGATGGTCTTGGGAGGTCCTGTTTTCCTAGCCTGTAAAAAGGAGGATATTCTTACCCGATGGAGGTGGGAAGTATGTTGAGATGTGCAGCACAAGTTTGCCAAGTACCAAATTGCAGAGAGAAAGGTAAATGGGCCCAGTGCTCTACAGCGAACCCAAACCATGGAGACTGAGCAGAGCTGCCACTCCTGGATAGAGCCGGACACAGCTGAGGTCTTTCCTGAAGTCAAAGGAGAATGTGCCAAGCAGGCAGCCACCACTAGGAAACAACTCACTGCCTGCACAGAGGTCTGAGTGCTGCTGCTCTGTACAGAGCATCACTGACCCTCGGCAAGTTCATTTTCCAAACTGGGCACTGATACTTTTCTCTCCCTCTTGGGGCTGGTCTGGGAGCAGGATGCTCCAATTTTGGTGTCAGGAGGGTGGCAGTGGTTGCAGGTGAGCATGTGTTAGGTGGAAGAAAGAAGTGACAAAGCAGCCTTGCAGAGAAATGTTCTCCCTGGTGGTTGTGTTTGTGTGCATTTGTTTATTTTAATTAACCTCCAAACAAGGTATTTCATTTTTTTCTTAATTTTAGATATTGAACCCAGTTTCAAAGTGACCTCCTGAGGCAGTGGTTCAGATAATTCCTGGCAGAGAACAAGTTTTGAGTAAGAGCTGGAGCCTCATAATGAGGCCTTGAAACATAAAGCCATCACTTCATTTCCCCAGGTACCTGCGTGCCTGGAATACATCCTCCTTATACTCCTTTGTTTGAACTCTAGGAGGGGTGGCACAGTTATTAATTAAAACCGTGGCATGCACAAGGTTTGGAAAGGGAACAAGAAATGCAAAAAGGAGCGATTTCCTCCTCCTCCTCCTCTCCTTCCCCTGCAATTTATTCTATTCCTGGTTTTCCATGTGATATCTTGTCCTTGCAAATAAAAAAACCAGCCCACCTCCCCCATCCAGACTTATTTTGAGGAGGTGCTTGGGAACACCTTTTGCTTTGAGCTGAGTCCTTGCTTTAGTTTGGAGGTATGAAGGCAGCAGCAGGGACCCACCCACGTGCTCCCTGGATCAGGGATATTGGCACTGTGCAAATATAACACAAAAAAATGTGTAGGCAGTAAATCCCTGTCCTGTTCTGAGGACAGGAGGGAAGTTCACAGAAACACCTTTGGGTTCTCAGCCCTGTCTGAGCCAGTGATGGCCATTGATGTTACCTCCATCTAGGTCAGACTCTTGAAGTGGAAAGATGCAGAGGGAGTTACAGGTGAAGACTGCAAGTCAAATCAAGGAATCCAGTGCTGTTTTCTCTTCTAGACAACAGTTCAGGGCCCTTTATCCAGCCTGGCATCTTCCAGTGCTCTGCATCCTGCAGAAAACCTCCTTTGTAGCACCTGCTTCTCTGTACCCTTCTTGCCACTCTCCCTCATCACTAAAAAACTGATGTCCTTACTGGCCTGGATGCTGCAAGTATAAGTGCATTGTCTGTAGTGATGACATTTTAAAAAATTAATGTATTAAAAATGTTTCCTTCCTCTACAATAATGATAATTTTTGAGCTTCCTGCAGTGGAACATTTTCTTAATTGAATTCCTAGTACATTGAGCATCTCTAAAAAGCATGAATGGCAGTTTCATCTCGCTGGCTGCATTCTTCCAAGGGACACTCTTTGAGGGCTGTTCATGAAACAAAGACATTTTTCCCCTCTCAGGCCAAAGGGAAGATGGCAATCCCACTGTCACAGTTATCTGGCTTCAGTGTAACTGGTGTCACACAGACATGACTCCTCCTCCTTGGGGTTTTAGAGCAAGGAGCCTCTCCCAGCAGCCAGTCAGTGTCTGCTGCACCCCGGTGCATGTTGCTGGTTAGCTCCAGCCTTGGAGAAGTGGCATTATTGGTCCTGTGAGGACCAGCTGAAATCCAGCAGTGCTCCTGGGATGAGCACAATCCAGGTACCGCCTAGAAAAAGCACAGCAGCAACCTGAGCACATGAACTGGTGCCCTTGGATAGCTCATCTGTTAAGGCAGGGCTGCAGTCTTGGGGTTAAAAGAGTTATCACAGCCAGAAACAGGCATCAGGAGATGGGCTCCATCTCTGCTGCACAGAAAAAGGTGCATCAGTCATGGGAGAGAGTCTTTTGAATCTCGTTTAGATGTGACACACACAGTTCTCAACTCTAGGAGCATTTATCCTCTCTCTTTGATATTTCCAGAGCTTAATTAGTATTATTATTATTATTGTTATACCCTAGTGCTTCCCAAGGCCTGAAGTATTTAATGAAGACCAACACAGGCTGAATGAGATAAAAAGGAATTTTGGTTCCTTTGAGAAGAAAATCCCGTCTCAGCCTGCTCTGAGAAGCCAGTGCCATCCCCTCCCTTTGCAGCCAGGGCAGGCTGTTCAGGGTTTGCAATTCAAAGCAAAGAGACCATCCAGAAGCTGCGGGACCAGGGAGTGATTTCCAGAGCAACCCCACAGATTGCTGCTGGTTGTGCAGGAGCTAAACTGAGCACATGTGTATCAGACAGCTGCAGCTTTGCCAGCTTCTTGCACCCAGAAAATCCACACTTGGAGCACGCAGAGCTCCCCAGGTGCTCGTGTGCCATGCTGGGTCATTTCCTGTGGCAGAGGCTTTTCCCATGATTACTTTGTAATTGTACTCTGTGCCTGTCATTTTGTGACTTGCCAGGCAAGGCTACGGATGGAGCACGTTCATTTGAAACATTATTCTTCAGATTTGGCAAAGAGATGACAAATTTTTAGGGAAAACCCAGAAATACTAGTGGGAAATAATCTTCTCTTCACAGGAGGTCTGAGTTCTTCCCTCTCCTTCTCTGAAGTTCATTGTCCATCACGAGCCAGCTGCATCACAGCTCCAGCTTCATTATGGTTCCTGTTGTCTCTTGCCTCCCAGGACAAAGTTGTACCGCACTTGTAAGGGAACCCTCACAAGCAAACTTCTTGGGTCAAGGAATAGTCCTGATAAAAAGCTGTTTATGTGCAATGAGAAGATGCCTACCTCGAAATCACCCTGCAGTTTTCCTCTGTGCTCCATTATAAATGTGGCGGCAGGCAGGTGAATCCTGCTGGTTAACAGAGAACAGCTTCTTCCCCCCTAGAAAATTGTTGACTCCAGCGATTTCAGAAGGAAAGCACCAATTATCTGCTATCTCAGGAAACTGAGAACAAGCAAAAGTGCAAGGCATTTCACACCAAATCTACAGGGCCAAAATGTGAGCAAGAACACCTTGAGCTCCCAGGGCTCAGCACATCTGCCAATAGAAGTAGCAGTACAGGGACTGATTGGATCATTTTAGTGTTTAGTGGTGATTTTGCAGAAATTGCTCTGTACTGAAGATGTTTTACCCATTTGGGTTAGCATAGGAATGCTCTGCTAAAACACTGAAGGTGAATGATATTTTTAACTTAAAATGGCTGCTCAAAATACAAGGAAGAGTGTTGCTAATTAAGCCCCTGATCATTTAAAATTAGCGTATGTGGCTCAGGGAACACGGCCCCTATCAGTGAGAGCAGAGCACTTGGCTAAAGGCATGTCTAGGAAGAGGTGCTATAGAGGGGAAGAAAGGTCTCGAGACTTTTCACCTCCCATCTGCAGAACAAAACTATGCCTTTTTGTGTTAATTTTGATCTTTTTCAAGTGTCTTTGATTTGCTATGGAGAAGAAACAAGAGATAACAAACACAAAATCTTCTACAGCTTCAGTGTCCTACTTTCCAGCTCTCCCCTTTTCACTGATCATCTGTATGGAGTGCAAGACATATATTTTACTCAAGGCCACAGCAGATCAAAAACACTCAATATGTTATATATATGTTCAGTTAGGAACTTAAATTAGGTTGCAATTTGATGTGGAGGGTGGCAGAGTAAGGTTTTCTTCCCTGCTTAGTCCAAGTGACAGAGCAATTGGTGATGGCTCTTTATTCTCACGTCTCGCCATCTTATATTGGATCCCTGGCTTGGTGACACTCAGCAGTGACATCCCACAAAAAGTGAGTCTTCTTAGTGTCACAGTCTGGGGTCCTGCTTTAAAGGGAGAAAAAAAAAAAAAAAAAAAAAGGATAACACATGTTAAAAAGAAGCATACAGCTGAGAATTTTAGGAGGGTGATCCAACCCCCTGCAGCCAGAGAAAGAGACTGTCATGACTCTTAACCCTGGTACTCTGGCTCGGACCCTAAATAGCTGAGGTCAGATTATTCACAGAGAAGGTGAGTGGCAGGTTCCAGACCTTGAAGTCAGGCTGCCTCCTGGCATTTTCTCTCTGTAAAAATAAGTAGCCTTTCTCCACTTCTAACAAAAATCTCTTCCCTGGCTCTCCTTGACGATTCCCCCTCCTGTCTCCACCTCCAGAGATGTCTTTACAGTATAATTTCCTTTTATTTTTAGCCATCTTTCATAATTGAAAGTATCTCTGTGTCAAACAGAAAACGTTCCCATGAATTCCTCAACAGGCACTTACTGCAAGCAATTGATGAAAATGAAATATTTAATGGGGTTTTATACCTGTGGACTTGGTGACACTGGTGCATCTCAAAAGCCAAACTGTAATGACATCAGGATGGATGGTCATGAGGCCAGCTTCATGGATGGTCACCTCACCAGCTTCAGTGGTGCTTCTCTTTTGGGGTAAGTATTGGATCTGGCCTGGGGGGTGTGGGAGTTGGTGGCAGCTGAGCTCTGGGAAGCTGTGGCTCCTCCTGACCCCAGAGTTTCCAGCTCTTCCTACTGAAGATCCAGCAGTGCTGCCTGGGGTAAAGCTGATGTTTCTCACTTGTCAGCAGCATGTGACTGCAATGCTCTCCAGAGATCCAGCCATGCCCACAGGCAGCTGTTCATCTCATCTGAGGTAAGAGCCACCTGGAATCAGATCCAGAGTCCAGTGAGCCCCGTTGCTTGTCTTGCAAAGTGATCAGAGCAGATACCTCTGGAAGAAGACAACACAGGAGCTCCTTCAGGAGGTCTCCTGCATACTGCTGCCCACCCACACGAGTTTGCACTCAGGATCTTCCTGAAGCATTTGCATTTAATAGTCTCTGAAAGATTTTTCTTCCCTGGATTCGTTCCCCTCTTCTCAGGCCAGTTCTGTGCTCCTGTTTTGATGCTCAGGGATACAGTCACTGCTCCTGCTCATCCTCAGCAGCTCAGATGGATTTTGCCTTGGCCTGAAGAGCTGCAGCAAGAGCATTTCAAAGATAGTGGAGGAGCAGAAACAGCCCCTTGCTGGCACACAGTGAGGCAGGAGTTGATTCAGTTTAACAGAGCTACTGAAACCAACCCTGAGGATCCGAGATTTTAATTGCATCCACTTCACAAATCAAGCTCTCTCTAGTCAAACTCTCTTGTTGTGACTCACCCCTAGCCCAGAGCCAAGATAAAGGAGACAAGCCTCACTTCTCTCTGCCCTTTCTCCCTTCCTAACCAGCTAATAACATCTCCTTCCTATGTACTCCCTTCTGGGCTGCCTCTCCTCACCACTGAAGTGTCACTGCTCTGTCCCAAACCACCCCTGTGCATCTCACAGCATCCTGGTGGAAAAGGGCATGAGGAATCCTGTTGTGTCCTTAAAAATAAGGAGGTAGGACCCACCTTCTCACTGCTGCCCCCAGGCAGGAGTATCAGCCTCAGGAGGGTCTCCTTTGCTGCCTCTGTCAGTCCCTCGTGGCTTTCTGTTGCGAAAGCTGTGAGTTTTCAGTGTACTGCATCCGTTTGGGAATCGATGACACCACCGGAATTTATGAATCATAACTAATCACGCTGCCAGGTACGGGGAGGATTATACGACGCGTGATCTAATAACTCTGGGCCGTTTAATCACCTCTGGTTGGTTCTGAGCACGTTGCACGGCAGGTAACATAACTGACCTTTTAAGGCGAAACCACAAAAGGTGTTTCTTTCACAGGCCTTTCCTCACTTGGCTTGGCTACAGAGTCCCTGCAAGTAGCAGGACCTCCTTGCCTGGTGGAAGCAGGCGGGACTGTTGTCCCACGGGTGTTGTCACATCTCAGAGGAATTTCCCACTGGGATTTCTGTGGCACTTTCAACAGCAAGGGAAGGAACTGAGTGTGGATTTTGCAAGGTGTCCACAGATGCCCAGAAGCCAGCATGGCCTCCAAAGGAAGCTGGAAAGGTTCTGCCATCCCGGAGGAGACGTGGCTGGGGCTGTAATCCAGCCCTGCAGTTTATGTGCAGGTGAGTTGTGTAGGGTGAGAGTGAGCAAACCCATGCCATTTGTGCATCACTCGTTCACTCCTGTCCCCCAGCCCCAGTGGAACACCTCTGTATCTGCTGTGTGAACACAACTGCATCTAATTGCTGAGATAAACTGCAAACAAATGCCTGGGTGATGTTCACCCTTCCAGGGGTTTTTCTGGGTAACCCCTCGCTCTGCCCATGCTCTGGCAGCAGCTTTCCCAGACAGCCAAAGCACAGCTCCTGCTCTCGAACGCCTTCCCCGCGGCCCTTGGAGGGGTTTCAAGAGAAAAGCGAAACGGCGACATTTTAAGCGTCGCCTCCCACGCGGTGTCTCTCTTCAGCCTCCGTTCCCACTTGCCGTGAGTTCAGAAGTCTCTGGTGGATCAGTCTACCCCCGGAAAACTGTGGGCTTGCCAAAATAGAAGCATTTTTGCAGAAGGCAGTGATTTGGCTGAATGTTTTGCCAGCACATGTCTCTGGGGTTTGCAATTTGTTTCAGCATTTTGTGTTTTTATTTTATTTTGGATTTCGGTTGCTTGTACACAATACTACCAAAACAAAATATTTTAATGTTTGCAAATAATTTTTTTGGGGGGTGGTGGTGGGGAAAAACGTTACTTTCAAATACATTTTGCAATGCCAGGATTCCCTACCCAGCACTACTCTCATTTTGCTGTCAGCTCACAGCATAAGCTCTGGTTACATAGAAGTCACTGTGAAAGGACCTGAACGCCTTTCTCACTAATATGCTTTACTTTCAGGATGGTGAATTATTTAAAATGCTTTCCATGGCTTTAGTCTGTCCTAAGTCCCAGTCTCATATTTCATTAATGTCAGTCTCATCATCGATTATTTTTTTTCTAGTGGCAGCTGGCATCTCCTGTCAAGGACCAAGGTGCAGTTGATACCCTCCTGGCTGGTGATGGAGAGCAGAGCTGGGGTGATGTACTAATTCTACCAAAGCTGGGGACGTCTGTGACCTTCACAGCCGAGGGTGAGTTGGAGGAGAGCAAAGCCAAGAGCTGAGTAAAGAAATTACACAAGCCAGGTGAAGCAGACACTAGAATTGGGGTGGACCCTAGGCAGAAAGTGTGGCACAAAACAAGAAAAGTTCTTTCAAGACAATAGGAAGCATTTTAATTTGAAATGCCTCTGTAAATGCTGTTTTCTGGAACCTGGGAAAACTACTCAGCAGTCATAGCAGGAAAAGCGAGTGAAGAATAATGCGTCCAGCGGAAATTCCTGCAGCTCTTGGCTCAGCAGACCATAATTGGAGACTGGAGCCTGCTCGGGACACTGGAGCTAACACCTCCACCCTTACAAGAGGTGGAATCTTGGGTGACCACAAGTGGTAAGCTTGGGATGTCATTAAAATAGAAACACCTGCAGCAGTGCAGAGCCCTGAACTCCCTGCTGAGGAGTTTCATCGTGCTGCTGACTTAGGGGGAAGATGCCACCTACTGAATCACCCAAACCACTTCCTGGAGCACCTGGTTTTTCCTCACATCTCCCATCCAGATAGTGGCTAGACCCACGTGAAAAATGCTGGATCTGCACCACACACTGCCGTTGGGATGGATGCAGGAGGAGTAACATACAGAAGGAGTTACACCTGTGCCCACGCCATGGGCAGAACAGGAGCATGTTCCGTCCTGGAATGCACCTCTCCAGCATTTAGCCTAGGCCAATCTGTGGCCCTTGTTCCTGGATGTGGACTGGAAGACAGGTGGAGACTTGTGCTGGCTGGAGCCTTCAGCAGGGAGGAGCATTATGGCCCTCTCAGGTGCCTGCTTGCTCCTCAGCTTTCTCCTTCTCAAAGACTTCAAGAAACTGCAGAGATTCTGAGATTTTTCTTTTTCCCTTTCTTGAAAGCGTGGCTAAAAATAGAGCATTGAAACCAAGCCCAGCCCAGAAAGCAGAGTGTGTAGGTGTGATGCAAACCAACACCTGGGGCTGTGAAGCGTCCTGGGGGAGCTGGCACCCATCTGGCAGACGTGTTCTCTCTCTCTCCTCATTCTTTCTTTGGCACCTTGTCAAAGAGCACAGGAGATGCTGAACCTAAAAGTAATCTTGTGTGAAAATAACCAACACATGTTGTTCTGGTTACGGGAAAAAGAGAACAAGGAGAGGACAACAGTTTTCATTTGCAAAAATGTCTGGGACCCCTGAGCTGCTTCTGTGTTCTCTGATTTTGTTTCCTGGCTGAAGGTTTCTAGAGGTGGCTGGTAGAAAACGGTGATGGCAGATACTGCTCTGAGGTGGTGGGCCAGGATATCTCTGAGGTGTAAACAGGCCAGCAGATGACATACAGTGCACTGGGGTGATTTCTTGGACAGCACTGGGTGCCAAAGGGGGAGGGTTCAATGGAAAAGAGCTCCTCCAAGTGTCATGAAACCACGGAGCCTGTAAGGAAGGCTGCTGTAGCAGTTGTGTCAATGGCTGCACAATGCGGACATGCCAGTCCCACAGAGCGCCCCTCGCTCACACCCTCCCAGCAAGCGCGTGGGCAGGTCTTGCGGGTGTGATGGAGAGACACAGGTCTGCCCTGAAGATGGGGATTTGTGGGGTCTTTGTATAGAGAGAGAAGTCATAAAACATGTGTGTAATGTTACCATAGTCCCCCCAGAAGACCTGTGCCTCCACCCTGCTATAGCAGGGGGGATTGGGGCAGGATGGGCAGTAACATGTAAATCCTTACACAGCCTCAGGACTGCAGTTACCATGGAGGAAGGGCTGTGGTGGACAAACATGGACTTAGTGCCATCTGTAATGCAGTGGAGACTGCTGTTTGGTACAAGGAGAATTTGCCCCTCAAGGTAGTGCCGTGACCTTGTGGCAACTCAGATGTTCCCTCTCCATGGCCAGGATGCAGCCTTAGGGATGGGAGAGTTACCCTGGGGTTTGATGGACAAGGGTGGCACAGGCAGGAGGGTGCTTGTACAAGGTGAGTTTTATGAGCTGTATTGATCTGCAGTGCCCTACACAGGGACACCTCTCGGGCGCAGCACCCCAGATACTCCAGCAACCTGAGAGGCAGTAATTCCTCTTTCCTCCCTGCCATCCCCAACACCTCTGGTAGTGCTGGAAAATGGTAGGAAAGCAAGTGTCCTCAGAGCAAGCCAAGTCAGAGAGCTGTGAACCTGGAAAGAGGGCTGTGAAAATCCAGGTGGGAACCAAACAGGCTGTGCTTCCAGTGGCAACTTCCCAGAGATGGGCTTCCAGGGACAGTCTGGTTGGTGATGCCTGTGGGCACCAGCCAAAAAAAAAAGGCATGAATGTTTCCAAGACCCTGCATGCCCCGCCCTTGCTGATGTAAGTGCATGGCTGGAAGCAGTTTATTCCCTATCAGCCCTTTCCTGCTTATCTGGAGCCAGCGGCAAGAGCAGGAGCCGGTCTCACACAGGGACCCTGCAAATCCTGGGATGAACGCCCGGACCAAGAGCTATTTCCCAGGGGGATCGGGGTGGATTGGGTAATTAATCACAGCTTGTCTGGGGGAGGATGAGGAAGTCTGAATAAAGGTGTTAACGGCTCTTAAAGGCTTTCCTGGTTCGCAGAGGGTGCTGCCTCAAACAGATTATCTGGAAATATTATTAGCTGGAGTGGGAAAGGGTTTTTTTTCTCCTCTAGGTTCTTTGCAGCCACCCTAAATCTGCTTGAGCTGTTGAGACAGGTTTTATTGTGCAGGGAGAGGTGGGGGAGAGGTGTTGGCTGTCAGTGGGTCAGCAATTAATTGGTTTATTCCTTTCTCACGGTTATTTTCTGACCAACATCTGCTAAAGCCCCAGTGCCCGCTTTGTCCCAGCTCAGCAAACAAGAACCACAGGGATTTGCATGAGGGGACCCCAGGCCACGAGGTTGGCTTTGCAGGGGCTGCCCGGAGGTCCCTTGTCCTGCCAAGCCTCTTTCCCTGTTATCTGGTCTTAGGAGGAGGATGTGATTAGTGTTTTGTGCCGTAGGATGTCAGCTGAGGGATGAGAACCGTGTGCCAAGAGGAAGAAAGAGCTGCCACAGATGGATGGTAAGTGAAAACAGAGACCTGCCCCCTTTTCTCCAAAGGAAACTTTCCTTTCAATGTCTCCACGGCCCATCAGTTCAGACAAATGCTGTTTTCAGCCCCGTGCTTCTCTCCTGGCAGAAGTGACCCTCAGCCACGTGTTTCTGGGTGAGGGTGGGCTCTCCTCCATCTGCTGCTGCCAGCTGGGAAATCATTTCTGATTGATCCAGCTTAACTCAAGTGCCATTCCGGTTTACCTGAGCTTTGTTACAGTTCTAGGAGCTCAGAAACAGAGGGTACCATCAAAGCAGAAACCTTGTGCCCTGCCAGCTCCAGCTCAGCTCAGTCTCTGCCCCAGCTCTGCTGCTGTAAATGAGCTGCAGTGGGTGGTGGGGCTGTGCTGGCACAGCTGTGCCAGGCATAGGGGGTTCGCTGTGAGCACCACCAATGGCTCCCTCATAGTAATTGCTCTGAAAGTGCTTCTGAGCTGGCAAATTGCCTTTTAAACCAGAGCAGGGATAGAGAAAGAACATAGCTTTGGCCATGAAGGATTTTGATAGCTGCAGCTTGGCATCATTTTGGCTTGGAGTGAAAAACATAAATTTTGAGTCCTGCAAAGGTGATGGAGTGATGAGTGTGAAACTGATGTGCAGGGTAGTCCACTCTCTACTGCACCTTTCTGGCCTCCCCAAGGCCTGCTGGGCAAGTGGGAAACCCCCTCCATGAGAAATTAATTGGAAATCACATCATCCACAGGGAACATTTGCCTATTGCAGTGCTGCTACTTCTCTCCCAGCTCTCCCTATATATTTTATAGGCATTAGGCACTCTGAGCAGAGTCCCATGGGCTGCTTTCTTCATGGTTGCAATGATTTCCAATAACTAAGTTAACCCCAGAGAAAGCATAATGAAAGCAGCAGATTTCCAGGTCTCTCTTTTTCCTTTACAGAAGGCCATCCCTTTCACACACGAAGCACAGCGAGCCCAAACCAGATCCCCGTTCTCCATGGGGATCAGCCCGCAGGGATGATGAGAGAAGCAGAGTGAGTCCCCAGCCCTCTCCAGAGCTGGACTGCAAAACCACAGGCTTCAGCAAAGCCCTTGGAGCCAGCCCACCTCCCAGCAGAGGGACTGTCCCTTTCTCTCAACTCAGGGCTGGAAATAATGACAGGTACGGAAAATCCATTACCAATAATGAAATAACCCTCCATGCAGCACTGCCGGCTCCATGAGCACTTCCCCAGCTGCGGGGAGACCACAGGAGCACTCCCTGGAGCAAGCAGACACAGGTGGTGCTGGCATGTGGCTGGAAATAGCCCAAAGGTGGGGGGAGCCTGAAATGTCTGGTGTTCTGGACCCTTCACCCCTGCCATGGGGTGTCTCATCAAGCCCTGTGTTTCCAGGCAGCCCGATGTCAACCCCAGGTGGGGCAGGGATTCTGGACTCACTGGTGGCAAAGCAGAGAGAGAACCCTGTTTCCTTGAAGCAGAGATGTGATTTTGTGTTAAAATTGCTTTTTCCTCCCAGAAGGTCCTTAAGCATTCCCCTAAGCTGTTAAGAGGCAGAGGGGGATCTGGCTGTCCTGCCTGCAAGACAGGGGTGGGTAAGAGGGGAAGGAACCAGCCTCTGCCTGTGTTGGCACTGGTGACCAGCACCTTAACCACGGGAAGGGAACGTTGGCCAAGGGCTCCAGTGAAACCCTGAAGCAGCAGATATTGCTGAGTAGCTCCTACAGGCTCATACTGAACCCAAGAGCTGTGTCCACACCCGACAATGTAAGATTTTTCTCCAAGGGTTTCCAGAGAGCATGGAGCAGGCTGGAACCAGGAGAGGGACAGGCTTTTTAATTTTGGACTGTTGTTACCATGTAAAGTAAACCAGAAAGCAAAGGGTCAGTGTTTCTGATCTGCATGTAGACTTTGAACTAAGCCAAGCTCTTGCTTGTTCCAGTATCCCTTTCCTTCTTGAAGGATGTTTCTGGCCCAGAAACATCTCATATTTCTGGGGAAGGAACTCAGCCATGTGGTCAGCAGGGGGGCACACTGAACCTAACGGTGCTCGATAAAGGCAGATTGATGCTCCCAGGAGGAGGAACTGGACAAGGGGCTTGTCATAGCCATTTCCCCCTGTGCTCCTTGCTTCCCTGCAGCCTTTAATTCTGCAAAGCACTTTGGATTGTAGCCACTGGGAGTGAATGGATGTACCTGGTAGTCTTGTGTTGCCCACTGCAGCAATAGATATGCATAGGGTGCATGATGGAGAAGAGGCCAGCCACTTGTTCTCATCTTGAAAAGCTTCCCGTTGCCAGGGAAGCACCAGGGCTCACACCCCACCTTATGTGTCATCGGTAACTCTCCTGCTGTTGAAATTTCGTTGTCTCTCTTAATCACGAAAGGCTTATTTTCCCAGACTGGAAAATGAATTCAGCACCCCTGGCAAAGCTGGGGGCTGGGAAGTTTTAATTACTGTTTGTACAGTGCTCTGGGGTGAATGGTGCTGGAGGCCTGGGAAGGGTTATATTATATATTAGCAGTTACTTATGTTTTATTATATATGTGAGCTCTGTGGTCTTGCCTCTGTGGTCTCCCTCCTGATGCCTAAGATGCTGTGGAGCTTCCTAACTCAAGCAGTACAAATCCCTACCTCCTGTCACTGTTACCACTGCTGATCAGGAGGGAGACCTAGAAAGTCCAGTGTCCACCTACAGCCAAAATAATCTCAACCAGTGTGTGCCTCTAAATACCCACCTGCTACACAGGGAAGAAGAGCCCTAAAGCCCTTCTCTCACGGGGCTTTTCCCACTAAAACATCTTTTCCTTAGGCAATGCAGCCACATCCTGCACTGACCTTCCTGTGCCCTCCTTGTTCAGAACAACACCTCCTTAATTATAATCCATCAAATTCCTCTTTCCTCTACCTGGAAAAAAAATGGGATTTGGGGACAAGGAACAAATACAGAGTCATAAGTCTCTTTTCATGGGAAAGGAAATCAATCCAGCGCCCTGCTGGGAGCCCTGCTTTGCCTAAACCCTGGCAAAATGCAATAAGAAGTTAAGGCTCTTAGCGGGCGAACATTACTAGAGCCCTATTAAGCACAGCTCAGGTCTTTGTGGTCAAGTGTTCCCTGTTGCACCCGGCGCTCCACGTTTTACACAACGGGGCGATTGTGGCCCCGCCGCTCTGGCATTGGCACCCTGCGAGTACCCACCGTGGGCCGAGGAGGATGGGCTGCTCAGCAACCCCACAGGGCAAAGCCAATGCTTTGGAAAACGATTCTGCAGAGAATAGGAGTGTTTTGGTGTTGGCAACGGCCTGGAAAAGGGACACATTAGCTATCAATTAGCGTGTGTGCCCACACGTGTGCAGCTTGTAGGCATGTGATGGTGTCTAGGCTTGTGATAGCATCCACATGAAAATCAGGGAGAGAATATGATGACTTTGACCTCAATTTGTCATTTCCACAACCCCTCCCCACCACCCACCCACCCCACATTTGTGTTTTGGTGGCACAGTTGGTTTTCTGACAGATACTTCAGAAATATTCTACTGATTACAGCAAAGGGGCGAAACTGCAGTGACTTAGAATTTGCCAAAGCTTCTCAAATGCAAAATCCCCCTGCTTTCCCTCTCTAGCCAGCTGTCACCTCGTGGTTCCTCCTGAATGGTGGCTCCTAGGGTGGTGGGCAGCCCCTTGCTGCCTGTGCCAGGCATAATGGGCAGAGCAGAGAGCCCAGGCAAGGCCCCAGGGTGAGTACAAAGCCTGAGTATGACAGCACTGCAGTCACCACCCACTGCCAGACTGCTTCCTGTGTTCCCCTCACAATCTAGGACAGGCAGAAGGCAGGAGGGTGTTAGCTGAGCCTCTGTGCCCCTGATGCTGCTGCTCAGGAGGGTTTCATTTACTGCCAGGTACATTATGGCATCTGCTAGGTGGCTGCTGGGTTGAGACCTGTGGCTTTCTTGGGGCAGTCGGTTCTAGGTCCAATGGGTTACCATGGCCACATCACTGAAATAAGGCAAGGAATGTATCCACCAGTGCTTTTAGCAGCACCAGAGGGTGTCAGGGTGTGATGGAGCCAGCCCAGCCCCATGCCTGGGAAGGACAGAAAGGAAAGAGTGTAAACAGTCCAACTCACATCCCTCCAGCACTATCCCACTGGTGAGCAGATGTCAGAGGAATGTATTTTGCAATAGCTTCATTCAGTCTGGAGTAACTCCTGCTCGCTCTCTTTCAGGATACTCTTCTCTGCAGACCCGCCCGACAGAGAGCCGGGAGGGATCCACTGTGAAGCCCCAAAACCGATCTTGAGGAAGAAACACAGCTTGCCTCCCATCCTCCACCCCTGCAAACCCAAGGGGAGGGACTGTCTGTGGATGTCCCTTTGGGTCAGAATCCTGCACAAGGCAGCACCCCTGGGTGCTCAGCAGTCTCTCTGAGGAGGTTCTGTTTAGGTTGGCTGCTGCTGATCCCAGCCTGTCCTCAGCACACAGATGCTTTTAACCTCTTGAGGAGGGGTCGGAGTGGCCAGCAGCTGCTGAGGACATTGCCACAATTCAGCCATGTCCCTGCTCAGGGCATGGACTGTAAACAAAGTAGGGAATCCAGGCCATATCCCAGCCCAGCCTGGCTGCCTGCCTCAAGTTCCCTGTTGCCCAGAATTTGGAGCTTGCCTCTTTTTCCATTACCTCTAAGCAGAAATGGTGAATGTTTCGGTAATGTTTCCTAAAAATAAAAATGTCAACGGAAAGAGCCATTTAATGACATGAGTCTGTGCATCTTTGGGCCCTGAGCAATCAACAAGCTGAGAAGAGAAATGCTGAAGTAGCTCATGAATTCGAAGGTACTCTGAGAAGGTTCTTTACTGCCCATGGATGCTTTCACCAGCATCACCTGGGGCAGGAGGGCTGTTTGAGAACTGTTTTCCTTCCCTCTCTAGGCAAATAGCAAATTTTCTCCAAAACCAATCCATCTGTCTAATACTCTGTTTGATGCAAAAGCCTGTATCTGAAAAAAAAGGCAACACAGCTTGTGTGACCAGGCTGAGGTGCCTGTGGTGTGTCAGCCTGGGGACTGGGTACTGCTCTATCACTTACATGGGGTGTTGTGGCTTTCTTTGGGAAAGAAGTCAAAGAATATAGGCTCTCTATGTTAGACAAGGCTTTGCTAAGCAGGAATGCATAAACTTGGTCCAGCCTATAATAGTCTTAAATGTCAGGGAGTGGTTTTTGATGCAAAACTCAGAAGCTGTCTTGACAGCAGCACAGGAGAGAGAGAAACCGGAGAGCAAGTACTTTGTACAGCCTTTTGGGGAATGAGTGGATGAATTAGGGTGTAAAGATAACACAATTAACTCCTTCATGCAGCTCAGGCAATGTTAAACCCCTGCAATTCAGGTTTTTGGGGAATGGCCCTACTTGGCACCTTGCTTGCCATCCTCAAGCCCTAATCTGTACCCATCCAGATCTGAGCTTTTATAGGAGACAGGGACAGGAGCTTCTCCCAGCCAGCTGAACATGGATGGTGGATGCTCAGGTAATTAAAGAACTGGTATGAGCTGCATTAACCCATCTTCTGTGCCTTATCTAATTTGGCAGGTCTGATGGATGTGCTGCACGGTTACAGAGCCCAGTGCTCAGTACAGGAACGGGGCATCTGAGGACATCAGGAGGACACTGAAAGCCTTGTCATACAGCCTAAAGTCTCACAGCAAGTGTCTATTAATAAGCCATGCCCACGCTTCCTCCAGGTATTTACAGTGCCCTTTCTCCCTGTTAGCTTTGAAAACCACAGCTCCATTTTGACAGAGCAAGTCCTTTTCTTTTAGTGATGCATTTGGTTCCACAACTGCGTTTGGCTGGGGCTGTGTGACGGTAAAAACCTACCTCACTTTGGGAAGAGAACAGGATTTCCCTCTAAAAATGATCTCTGTCTCCAGATGAGCAGTTTCAGCCTGTCCTCTGGGAGCCTCTCTGCTGTGGAGATGGTGGCTGGCTGACTCTCATGCTGGCTGAAGAGAGGTGCCACCGACCCCACAAAACATGGAAGTGACAGCGTTAATCCAGCCAGCAAGGTCACCTCCCCCCAGGGCAGGTTTTTCCAGGTGAATGGGGTCAGGTGGGGATTCCCAGGTGCTCAGAAGGGGACCTCTGGAGACTTGGCAGTGTGTGGGGACCACCAAAAACCCTGGAGGGTGGCTGGTTTCTTACCCTTGCCCAGGGCAGAGCTCATTGTGCCACACTGACTCTTTGGCAAATGGGTCAAGACTGGCATATCTGCAAAATGGGGCCAGATGTCAACTGGGATGAGCCTGGCCTGGGAGTCAGGTTGGGCAGGAAAGGTAAGGAAAAAAGCACTTTCACCCCAGGGAAACAATGGGGATATGAAATGGAAACTAGGACCTGAGTTCCTCTGCCCTTCCCTAAGGGGGACCTGTGGGGTGCAAAGGGCAGATCCCAAAATCCAACATCTGTTGTAACTCAGTTGTACCCCCTCCGAGAAATGTCTTTTTGCTGTTAGATGTGCAGTTGCTGCTGGAGTGACTTCCTTCTCTCCAGCTGGAACTGGAGACAAAGGAAAGAATCATTGGTAATGAGCTATTTATAGAGAAATTATTCTTGATACTTGCATCACTAATACAAGGCAGCACCACAACTTTCTTACTGTGGTTAAGGACAGCACTCAGAGCAGACTGAGAGCCTTGAGGTCCTGTGAGTGATAGGAGCATGTTTCAGCATTGCTTGGTTGCAAGAGAAGAACCCAATTTGCCTCACTGGAAAAGCAGCCATGCAGAAACCACAAGAACCCGTCGTTCTGGTCAGGCCCTTGGATTTTGTCAGGATTTCTTGAATGCTCCTTCACAGTTAAAATTCCCACTGAGCTGTCTTGCTGTTTGCAAGGCTGATTGGGACTGGGATGGTGCAGGCAAGCTGGCAAGCAGGATTGCCCTGAAGCATCAAACTATATTCAATTAGCCCACCTTGCCTGCAGGAGCATGGTTAGCTGGCAGCACATTCCCCCTCCTGGTAAATTAGATATCGCACAGTGGCTTAGTCACACCGGAGAAGTACATGGCTCACAACTTGCTGAGACAAATTTCTCCCAGCTTTAATTAGCCATGAGATGCTGGAGTGCCCAAAGCGCTCTCCCTGCCCGTGTTTACACTCGGTGCATCAATCCAGTTTGGACTGAGGTCTCCAAATATTTGCAGTTAGCAAATACTGCTGTGTTTTGCCGTTCCAGCTCTCTGCAATTAGCTGGAAAACATAGGTTTGTATCCCCAGTCTTTTCAAAAACAAAAGGGTGGATGCTCAGGTCCCAGGACTTCAGCAGGAGAGCCAGCACTGCTCATCCAGTCTCTCTGCTGTGTATTGGCTCAGTGTCACCCCAAAAGAGAAATGAGAGGAGGAGAGGCTTGTGGCACCCTGAGGATGGAGCAGGGACCAAGCAGCAGGAGCTGCTAATATAAATGAAGGATCACTTAACATTTAAGACTTGATTCTGCCTTTGCTGTGTGTTTTTTACATTTAAGGACACTTTCCCCTTTCCACATCTCCTCCCCTCATGTTTCTCCTACCGATGTGATGGCAGCCAGAGAACTGAGGTGTTTTCAAACAAGCCTCCATCGTTCTGATGGTGGCACAAAGATGCCCAGTCCAGCCAGCTCACACTTGCAAGAGCTAGGCTTGGCACTTCTTATCTGACAACAAATGCACTCAAAACCTTAAAAACAATCTGTATTTTAACCTTGGTCATGTTAAACAGCTTTCAGGATGCACTCATGCTGGTTACACAGAGCACTACTGGCAATTGTTAAATAATTATGTTTAATTTGCAGTAACAAAGCACACGAAATCCATGTTGCATAAACTCCACTAAAGGTAAGTGTCACTTTTATATAAAAAAGCACAGGGTTAATTTAAAAATTTGGGGTCTGCTGACCCTCCAGGTTGTTGTAAACCATTTATATGTGTAAAAATAGACACGAGAGGCAGCCCAGGTGGGTTCACATGTTGGTGCTGGCAGCAGAGAGCTGCAGTCGCTCTGCAGGGATGGATGGGTTTGAACACGCCTGGCACTGAGGCACGCGCTTTAAAACTTCCAGCTCAGAAAGACTCGTCCTCTGTTCCAGAGGCGCTGTCTGAGCCTGACTGCAGTGAGCCACGCCAGATAAGGGCTGCAGCGCTTGCCTTTGTGTTGGCTGGGGGTGACTGTGGCACTCTGTGCCAGCAGTGGCTGTGGCAGTGACCACAGAGCCCTCGGCGGTGGCAGCGCTGCCTTGGCCCTGGCATGGCGAGGGGACAGCTTGGCTCTGGAGCAGGGAGGGGAAGAACCTGCTTGGCTCCCATAAATGATGCTGTTCTCCTCAAGCTAAAATGGAGCTTGAACTAATGCTTTATTCCTCCCGTGCAGACTCAGAAATTGGGAGCCTCGGTCGCTGGGCTGTTTTCTTTTGCCAAGCCTCTGCACGGCTCGTTTTTAGCAAAAGGTAAGCCCAGCCCCTGAGACATCTGTGGGGGTCATGATGTTTGGTAATGGTTCAGCCTGTGTATTTAAGCCAACACAAGCAAGTGACAGGGGGAGCAACCCCATTGCACAGCCTTGTGGGTTTCTGACTGTGTTACAGCAGTGTGAAGGAACAGAGGGGCAGGAACAAGAGGTGGAGACAAGGTGACCCCGCTGTCAGGAAAGCAAAGGCCTGACCCTGTTAACGTGGTCCATCGTGGTGATTTGCTCTTTTGGACCCTCCATCCATCATTAGGTCCAGCACCTTGGTAGGAGGTGCTGCCTGGCTTGTCCTGCCCCACCAGGTGCTGCTGCAATGGTCAAGTTTTGCCATTCATGTCGTGCTGCACCTTGGAAAGGTGTTTGCTCTGTGTGGTGTTGGCTGTGATTCCTCGGAATTGGGAGGGTTTTCTCTTCTGCAATTATCAGAGTGGCTGAAAGGCACAAGCTCTGTAGTCCCTGGCATTTTGTCTTCCATCTGTCTCTGGGCTTGAAGAAGCCAAAAAGGGAATAGAGGATGGCATTTACCCCTTCTCCCAGCATGGGTTAGCAGAAGCAAAACTATAAATCAGGAGACATTTCAGCACTTACCTCCTGTTTTTACAGAAATCACTATACATTACAAGTGCCTTTGCATATTTTATAGCACTTTAAAAAGCCAATGTAGCTAATCTGGAAGTTGGCTTGTTCAGAGAAGCACAAAACATGTGCAGCCATAAAAATCCCTCATTTGATGTCAAGCTATTGCATTTTCAAGCATCTGAAAGGCAATCACTATTACACATCCAAGGAGTTTGCCTTGACTCACCCCAGCTCCTCATGGTTGGTGAGAACAAAAAGATCAGCACAGCATCTTGAAAAGTTGTGTTGTTGCCGTACAGGGCAGATGTTTTGGCAGCAAAGGCAGCCTCCATCCAAGGGCTCACCTTTAGAAGAAGTGCAAGGTGATGCCAAAAGGCTGGAGGAGTAATGGTCCTGGAGCAACTGGTATCCCTCTAACAGGGAAATGTGGCTCATAGGCATCTTGGGTGACGAGATGTTCTTCTGTCTCTGAGAGCTGGTAGAGAGTTGGATATTCATAAATTTTCTCTCCTCTGGCTCTTACTACTACAAAATCTGTGGGAATTTGTTGTTTTTGGAAAAGCTGCTTTTCTGCCTAGATGAATCAGAGGTTCAGCAGATATTTGTGATGCATATGTAAGATATATAAGATGCATATTTTCATGGCCAGCTACTCAGGATG